TCTAATACATAAAACTTGGGGGACACAATTCAAGCTTAAATAAGTTTTGGGGGGACACAATTCAATCCACTACAATAGATAAAAATGTGAAAGGGATTGAAAGGGCACATTAAATTTATAAGAATGTAGTCTTGAGTCCCAGAGCTATGATCAGCTTGCCGCAGTCACAGAGCTGGTCACAGGTGGAGATGGAAACGCAGTTCCGGCTGCCTGGCTTCCTTGGGCCTGCTCTTCTTTGCCTTGAGGGTGTTGCTGGCCTAGTGGGATGGGGGCTCCAGTTGGCAGGAGAGCTTGTAGCTGTAGGACAGAGAGGCAGCTGCGAGTCTACAGGAGCCACACCTCAGCTCTTCCTCCCAGTGCGTGCCCCGCAACTGGAGTCCTGGTGCCCCAGTGGTCACCATGCAACAGGGTCTGTGGCTGACCAGACAGCCATGGCCCGGGGCTGTCTGCAGCTGCCACTGGCAAGAGTCCCCTACCCCCTGACTATCATCAAATTCCTGCAAGGCTCTCACCTCTCATTGTCATTGAGCCACTTGGTTTAGCCATTGAGCTAAACCAGTTGCCAAATTCTCCCTCCTTCTTGATGAGGTAATTGTTGGCTGTCACCTGGAGAAGCTGTATTTCTCTCAGGACTTTAATGTCCTGGGACCACAGAAAAAACAGGATGCTGACAGGGCCTGGGTGGGAGATGCTAAAGGGACCTTGTGGGGGAGGATGGAGCAGGGAGCTGGTTTGCACTTTTAAGTGATACCCTCCTCTCCTTCAATCCCATCCATGCCCCAACCTGTTCTCAGTGTTGGGTTCAAACAGCCTGTCCCCCAGAAATGTGTCTTTGATTCCTCTCCCCTTCCCACACCCTCCAGTGGGATGGGTTTCCCCCCTCCATCTATCAAATCTTCCTAATAAATCAGAGTTGCAGGGGATGCAGGCAGGAAGTGTCCTGCCCAGGTGAGAGGGGCCATCTCTGACTTCCACATCCCCACGTTCCCTCGAGTGAGGGCCGCAGCTGCTCACCTTCCTCCTTTTCTGGGTGTTGAATATGTTTCCCTGAAAGAAAGATGGTCCAAGTCTATCAGAAAGGCTCCCTAGCCCATTTCTAGCCCCATCCTCACCTGTTCCCATGTTGCACTAAGGCCAGGGCCACTTGGGTTAAGGGGTTTACACAAAACAGGACTTTCACCTAGGTCAGGCTCTGAGCTCTGTAGAAGGATGACCTTGGAGCTGAGGATCAAGGACCTTCTATCCAACCTCCCTGATGACAGGTGAGGATACTGAAGCCTCTGATAAAAAGAGACTGCTGGCCACTTACAAGCTGCCTTCCGTCAGAGGAGCCCAATTTCACTCTCTTCCCATGGCAACCAACTAAGGGAGAGGCTGAGTCCAGTTGAGCTCTGCAACTTCCCCACTTGGAGAACAGGGACTGGTGGCTTATGTGGAGGCTCCATCACTCACGGGTGATGTGGGCATGACACCCCCAGCACACGGGCAGCTGTGAGGTCTCATGAGAGGAGGTTTGCCAAGTGCTGAGTTCTAAGAGCTCTCCTCTCCCCAGCCTCAGGATCCTGTTCCCCGACCTGCCCATCCCAGGCTCACTCACATCACCAGGTCACTGAGATATGTTCCCAGGAAGGGAACAATACCCTGTGACATTGGGGTGGTAGTGGTGACGAGCGCCAGCTCTTGGGTGCCCACACTTGGCTTATTCTATAAAAATCTCATCAACCTTTTCTTTCTGGACCCCCCTAGCCAGGGTTTCCACTTGGAGCCACAGAGAAAGCTCAGGCGCCTCCCCTGCATGCCTTCAGTGCCCTCTCCCCAGCTGGCCTCCAAAGACACCATGTACCCCCGTGAAAGTTTCATGTCACAGTGATTACGTGGTTCCTGCCACACCTCACTCTGTAATCCACTCTAGGCCAGCTCTTCCAGGTGCTTGGCCTGTTCTCTGTATTTAAGGCATCTCAGATTCTGTGGCCACAGGAAGGCAGGCCTGGAGGGTGGAAGCTCTCTCCTCTTTTGATTTGGAGGCCTCCAGCTTGAAGGGAGGGGCCCCTGTCATCTACTCCCTAGAGCCCCTCCCAGTCACAGACACACTCACCTTTTTCTGCTGCCACTGCCTTATCTGGGCTCTCTGGTGGTTCATCTCCAAGGTGGCCAATTTGGTGGTCCCCACAGACACACTCACCTTTTTCTGCTGCCACTGCCTTATCTGGGCTCTCTGGTGGTTCATCTCCAAGGTGGCCAATTTGGTGGTCCCCACAGACACACTCACCTTTTTCTGCTGCCACTGCCTTATCTGGGCTCTCTGGTGGTTCATCTCCAAGGTGGCCAATTTGGTGGTCCCCACAGACACACTCACCTTTTTCTGCTGCCACTGCCTTATCTGGGCTCTCTGGTGGTTCATCTCCAAGGTGGCCAATTTGGTGGTCCCCACCTGACAGGGTCAGGGACAAAGTTAGTGCTATGTCCAAATGAACGTCCCCTCCAAAGTTCATGTTGAAACATGATACCCACTGTTACTGTATGAAGAGGGTGGAAGATTCCACAAGACTGTTTGAAAGGTGGGGCCCTGTAGGAGGTTACTGGATTAGGATTACTCTGCCCTCATGAACGAATGAATTCATTCATGGTTTTTCATGGAAATGGACTGGTGGCTTCATAAAGAGAGGATGTAAATATGCTCTTGCCCTCTTGCCATCTGATACGCTGTTCCACCTCATGACTCTGCAGAGAGTTCCTCCCTGCAATAAGACCCTCATTAGATGTACCCCCTCTGCTTGGACTTCCCAGCCTCCTAAATTGTAAGAAAAAAGTTCTGTTTCTTTATAAACGACCCAACTTTAGATATTCTGTTGTAAGCAACAGGAAACAGTAAGATAGTTAATGAGACTGTCTTCCCTTCACCCAGTTACACCCCTGCCCCTGACCTTGAACTTTGGATATCTGACTCATGAGCTGGTGTAGTGCCACTACCTCCTCTAGTGGCTCTGGTTCTAGAGTTGATGCCAGCTGTGACACTCCCCAGTGTGTGGTCTTGGGTGTGCACCCTGGCCACCCTTCCCTGTTTCCTCATCTGGAGAGGATCCCCTGAGAACTCGTACTACTATCCTCATCATTGTCCCCAGCACCCCTGGAGGAAGAGGCACAGGCACACTCCATGAACCTCATTAACCTCATTGCCACTCTGTGAGGCCTGCACAACAGGCTTGTCAACTCTGCAGTTTCCAGATGAGAAAACAGAAGCCCAAGGCGGGGGCGTGACTTGCCCAGGGCTTCACAGGAGAGACTGGCTCCTCCTCAGCAAGTGGAGGCCTTGACCTAGCTGCCTTCACCCCACCCACCAGCACCACCACTGGTGAGAGGTTCAACCTCTGGGCTCTCTGTGAGCATCCAGGTCCCCAGTCAGGCCCAGCCTTGGTGAAGGCGGGACAGGGTGTTCTGAGAAGCCTGGTTTAGGGGCTCCTGTCTAACCCAGCACCACTGATATCTATGCACCCAATGCTGGGTTTGATGCCAAGTCAAAGGCTTTACCTTCCCAGTAATGCACCAAGAGAGTTCCCTGCACAGAACTCTCTCTTCCCCCACTCAGGACATGGTCTCCCGAGATGTCACCTCTGACCAGCAGGGCAGAGGATTCCAGAAGTACTGGCTAGCAACAGTTTCTTCCTCTTTTATTTGGAAGGTTCTATGATCTTGTCAGGAAGCATCTTCAGAGATGTGTGAGTCCCTTAGATACTTCTCATGAGTCATCTGGAGCACATGTCACTGCTAACTGGGCACAGGGGTGAGAATCCTAGGGCTGTAATTGATTAGCAATGTCTGCACAGGGCACAGTGGGGACCAGCAGCAATCACATTCATCTACCCCAAGTACACATTGGGCCCCAAAACTGTGCAGCCCATTTGATGATCTGGCCCGTGTGGTTTCTCTGCTGTACACATCCCTGTTGCAGGCAGGTGCCCCCATCCCATGGAGGTGCCATGCAGTCAGCAGCAGCAGAGGCCTAGCTTCCTAAAACCTGCTGGGCTAGTTTGCAGAAGGAAGCCCTGCCTACCGCATCCACCAACAGCCTGGAGAAAGCCATGTGCTGACAGGATGCAGCAGCATGCAAGGCGGACACCGGCTGCTTCTGCAGCTCCTCTGCCCTCCTGCACAGCCCGGCTGCCATCACTGCATCCCATCACCAGGGCTCCTGCCACATTCTCCACCTGCCCATAGCAGACACATCCTTCTCCTGCTAGTCCACATGAGATGGGACTGAAATTTTCCTGTCAACTTTCAGTGAGAAAGTAAAACACACAACAACTCACCTCTGCTTATGTCCCCAAACACCTACCCCTATCTCTCAGCCTCTACTTTACCTTTTTGCTTAGTACCTTCTCTTTTCTACATAATTTTTCAAAATTATGGGAGCTTTTTCTGTGAAGGGGAAAGAAAGAAAGATTAATTTGGGAATAATGGGGTGACATGTAAGTTCAAGTTTTTATTTTTGTTTTGTTTTTTGAGACTGCAAAGAATCCAAACTACACGACCGCAAAGAATCCAAACTACATTGAGGAGAGTTGTCGGCTGGCTTTCTCTAAGTCCTATGGGCTCCAGGGGACTGGGAGAGGAGCTCTCATGTTGGTCACCTGGGCCCTGTCCCCATTTCAACTGAGAAGCTCTGTTTTAGTTCAGAGGTGAGTATGACAAGGTCTTATTGTGTATAGCAAACACTTGAAATTGCCAGTTTGGTAAACACCTGTGCCTGACAGTTAATAAAAGAAGAAAATAAAGCAAAACAAAACCTTAGCTTGGGATAAGAAATCCTGGGCTAAGTTCCCAGGGAATCTTAGAGACCCTACTCGTAAGCCCGTTCTTGTCTCAGTGCCTCTGACCTCCCAGTCCCTGCCAGGGTCATTAAGGGAGCAATGCCAAAACCTATGGAAAGTCCCTGGTCCACCCTTGTGCTCCTACAGAAAGAGGCCCACCCACCTGGAAACTTCTCTCCATGTCCTTTTCATTCAGTGGATTAGGGTGCTCTGCAGAGCAGAGAGGATGGCATGGACTGAGAAGTTCCTGAGGACCAAACATTCCTGGGGAGGAAAGAGAATGATCCATGAGGTGGAGAGTTGGAGCCCACCTGCTCCAGCTTCACCCCTCAGCTCACATCTTCCCTCCTGGATGAGGCGGAGGCCCAGAGAGCCACAGGAGGGCACAGTTGGACCCCAATGAGCAGAACACACAGAGGGAGGATTTTAGCTCAACCCAAGAGCCCAGATAGGAAGTGAGCCTCTGCCACTGGGACCTGGGGGTCAAGGCCAGTGTTCCCCGACAGGAAAGGCTCAGGGATTGTGCAGGGACTTAACCACAGATGACTACCATGATGGTGGTTATAAAAAAAAAGGCAGTTCCCAGGTCTGCAGAGGGTGAATCCCCTGGGTCCTCCCACAGCTTATCCTGGCCACCTTGATCCAGTGCTCCAACACCCTGGCTCTATCCTGGGCCTTCATGCTCTGGTCACCAAGGCAGGTGGTGATGATGCAATTGGCCACATTGTAAAATTGGGCTATGGTGGCATGAACAGTGGGTGCCAGGTGCTCCTTTCCCTTCCTGTTGCATTGGGACCAGATGGAGCCCAGGCAGTCATAGGGCACCACCTCCCTAAACAGCACCTGAAGAGGGAGAATGTGTCACACAGGCGTGCCTCCCCAGCTCTTTATCCACAGTGACCCATAGTCCCAGGAAGGTGACAGTGGACTAGCTGGAGGACCGAAAGCTTTAGACTTGTGAAAGAGTTTGGATCTGGCTATCTGCCCACTACAGGCACCCAAGAGATAATACAGGCAGGCAAGGAATGAGAGGCATTGTCAACCAGGCCATTCTCACTAACTCCAAGCACCAGAAAATGGCTCAGGTGTGCTCATCTTGAGGCTGTATCCTGTGTGCATTCTGATCAGCCCTTTGTTCTAATTCCTCACTCAGATGCACATTTCCTGTGGCAGCTACAGCTATGGGTTCTCTTTGGATGTGTGCTGGAGAGTCAAGTACATATCAGGTCCTAATAAGTGCTGAAGTTGGTGAGGCCACATGGGAGGATGGGTGGGTAACTCCTGAACCCACCTGCCCCTCAGTGAGCACCCTCTATTACCATACAAACCAGGTCAACATGCTGCTTTCTCTATGTCCCATCTCATTTTAGCTTCGGTCAGTTTGCAACTGGTGCTGTTAATGTCTCGACTGTCCACATGTGGACAGGGAAGGCTTGGGAATTAAGAAACTCATCCAGGTCACATCATTGGTAAGATGTGGAGCTGGTATTGGACCCAGATCACTGGACTCTGGTCAGCAATGGCTTGTCTGGGACACCAGGTGCAAGAAGGACAGCCTGTCTAGGCCACCCCTGCAGAACCAAGCTCCTCACCGCATCCATCAGTCAGCTGCTCTGCCAACAGCTTAGGAGGGAATGCCCTGATGTCCCACATGTCTACATGGGGCTGGTTCATTGTAGCCAAGGGAGGACAGGGGCAGGAGGGCTTTAGATGTTCCTCTAACTTCAGTCCTGTCACATGTGGTGGCTCTTCTCCTGGCGTTGGTGCTGGCACTGAAGATGGTGGTGGACCCAGTTGTACAGGTGACTCTGAATGCAGAGCAGGTCCCAGCTCTACCGGGGGTGCTGGGGCTGGCTCTAGAGCTTGCCTGGGAAGTGCCTGTGGCTCTGGACATGAAGCAGGAACAGGAAAAAAAGCTTCACCAGCAGCAGTCATTTTCTACTGGCCTTTCCAAACACAGAAAGGATCTTACTGCATTAAAGGGAGTTCTAGCCCCAAAGCACCACCCCTGGTAATTTTTCCAGACTGCAGTCCCCTCACAGTCTGTTTCTACCTCAAAGAGCTCTGGATGCTTCAGGTTGGTAAGCAGAACGTGCACATGGAGACCCATGTCCAGTCCAGGCCAGCTGACCTGCACGTGGTCGATCTTAACTTTCAACAATAGAAAGTTCAGGGGCTGATGAAAATCTGTGCAGAAATGCTCTGGCATAGTGACCACAGTGTGACAGATGGTACTGGAAGTGGGAGAGTGGGCAGCAGAGTCAGAGGCTGGCCTTTCCTTCCACGCTGCCCTCC